CTGCAAGTTACATTTGCTTCCGCAGGATGTTAAGTGTGCTGGAAGAGACTGGAGCTGTTGGACAACTATAGAGTCCTGCAACTGAGGGCACTTCTGCAGGAAACCTCCTAAATAAGTGGGCTCCCCGATACAAGTCCAAAGCACGGGAGCTCACTGGCTTAGATGGCACATGGTATCAGCTGCTCTGGCAGTTCTCAATATGTGCTTTTTTGTACATCATAGAACTATTCTTTTAGTGTACAGCAATAAGATTTAAAATTTGGTGTATTCATTCTGAAAGGTGCAGATAATACTACTAAAAAGTCAAATGCTATTTCTTAACCAGTGGCCTAATGTTTAAGGACAATAGTTACCTCAGGAAATAATTTAATTATAAAGCAACTTAATATATCTTTTTATTTTGAGGAAGATTAGCCCTGAGCTAACAACTGCCAATCCTCCTCTTTTTGCTGAGGAAGACTGGCCCTGAGCTAACATCCATGCCCATCTTCCTCTGCTTTATACGTGGGATGCCTGCCACAGCATGGTTTTTGCCAAGCGGTGCCATGTCCACACCCAGGAGCCGAACTGGTGAACCCCAGGGCCGCCGAGAAGCGGAACGTGCGAACTTAACCGCTGCGCCACTGGGCAGGACCCTAATATATCTTTTTTGAAACACAAATAGTGAAAAACGAAATCAACAATAATTTTATCAATAAAATTACACCAGTATTTTTATATACTTAAATTGTATCCGTAAAGGTTTATGGGAAAACCTCAAGACAGACTCACGATTCCAAAATTACTGATGATTTCTTAGACTAAATAGATGCTCTGTAACTTTCTTATCTTCAGAGTTAGACAGAACACCACTAGCCACATGTAACTTCTTAAAATGTAAAGTAATTAAAATTAAGTAAAATTAACAATTCAGTGTCTTTGTATCACTGGCCACATCTGAAATGCTCAGCAGCCACTTGCGCTGCCACCGTGGACAGTGGAGAGAGAAAACACTTCTCTCATCTCAGAGTTCTGTTGCAAAGCACTGATTCAGAGACTACAATTTTAGGAATTATGCCCACTACTCCAATACATATCCTTGCTTCCCTGCTCAGATGAGAACCACAGAGCATTTCACAGAAAGCTAAATATGTACTCCTGCTATTGGGAGAGTGGGGCGGGCAAAGGAGAGGGAAGAGTGAGGTGAGCAACGTTGGACCAGATATTGTTAACAAAACGAAATAAAATAAAACCTGTTTTGTAACTGCATCTCTGAGGATGCCTCTTCTGAGCACAAAAGGTTCCACGTAACACCCAGGCAAAAAGCCCGAAATTATAACTCCCTGAAATGATGCTTAGAGTAGATGCCAAATATTAATGTGGTTCTCTAGGCTAGAAAGCACACTAGAGTCTAAAATTATTTAAGGATTGTTAGAAGGTACCTTCAATCTATGACATTCTGATTATATTCATGAAAAGTCTTAGTATTTTGTTGAACATCAATTACTATGCTAAATGTCCCATCACCTACCTCAAACATCGTTCTACTTCCAAATTTGTTCACAGGTCCTCCTGATCAATAATACATTTAATGGGTTCAGAAAAGTCCACCCAATGGAGAAATTCTCTGGGTCAACTTTACTGCAACAGTCAGTAAGACTCATCTCTCCAGCTGGCCACAATGCACACTCCTGTTTTCTTAAGGAAAGAATAAGAAAACTTTTTGTAGGCACAGAACAGTTCTTTCTCCTGTTTCCAAAATCTGTACTTACTGCCAATTCCCCTCAAATAGTCTTCTCACTCATATATCTGCAGGGCTTAACAGATTCACTACCTATCACCAACACATGGAGCAGAGACAAATGCCAGTCACACTGACCCCAATAGAGGAATTTAAGGAAAAAGCAGAGTGAATTCTGTTTCTCTCAACTGAAAAGTGTTCCCAAATAAAAAGAAAGTTAACATACCGATAGAGTACGGGCAAATTAATCTTTTCATAGCTGTAGCCAAGCTTCATTATTCTAAGACCCCTATTTATGTACCACTCACATTCCATTATAATAGTTTTTTAAGAGTCACGGTAGATAACAGATTTATTTCAAGTTATCACGGTTAATCCAAATTCCCAGAGTATTCAAATCATACAGTGAGAACTTACTGCAGGAATTCAACTGTAAAAAGGAAGAGGAGATTCAAATTTTTTGTCCTCATAGGAGCAAAATTATCCCTTGTTTCGCATAACAATACCATCACTCAAATAATTCCAGCAGAGTTCCTGGAATGGGTGCTCAGTGAATCTAATGCTAGATTCACTTAACTTTCTAATTCCATTAAGAAATTTAATCAAGAAACAACGGGAGGTGAACTTTTTCCACATCTAAGTTCAAAATGTACAGTTTGCTATATTATACATCACTACGGACCAAACGCTCCCCCTCCCACCTCAATTCATGTTGAAGCCCTAATCTCCGCCCATGTGATGGTACTTGGAGGTGTAAGTAAGGTATGAGGGTGGAGCCATCATGAAAGGGATTAGTGCCTTATCAAAGAGACAATGAGAAGGATGATCTTTCTCTTCCTCAAGTGAAGATACAGGAAGAAGTCAGCTGTCTACAAACCAGGAAGACAGTCCTCACCACACATCAAATCTGCCAGCACCCTGACCTTGGACTTCCCAGCCTCCAGAACTATGAGAAATAAATGTTTGTTGTTTTAGCCCCCCAGTCTGTTATTCTGGTATAGCAGCCCAGACTAGGACACAGACGCACACATGGACACGCAAATTTCCTTAAGAAATTACAAATGTTAAAAATATATCTACTGATTTTCCAAATGTTTGTTTTAAAAGTGAAATTCATGTGGCACAAATGTATCGATATACAAAGCATAATTATGGTACTCTGGACTCATTAAAAAGACTGAAAAAATAAAACTTCCATCTTGTTTCACTTATGACTCTTTCAACACATATATTAATAAAAATCTACAATAAAATAAAAATACGTAAATACTATAGAGAGGAAAAAAGTTATCCAAAGGATGCAAAAATATCAACTTATTTATTTATCTCCTCCTGTCTCTTCTATATAAATATTTATGCTCTCTGAAGATTCCTTTACAGACATTCTTCTTAGGCCTTATGATTCCTTTAACTCCTTAGCAACACAATTTACGTTTTCAGATTGTCCATGTTTCTGTTCACACTTCAAACTTAGGACTTCTCTACTATTACGTTTAACTAGGACATATTTAGGCATCTATAAACTAATGGCTTTATAGTTAAGTACTGTACTCACAGGTCCTGAAAACCAGCACAGGTGGCAGGGTTAGTTTAGTTGGTGGCCACTGAATATTAAGTATATTCATACGTGCAAAACACAGTGATTTAAAAAGCCCTAAGACGTTTTCCAGAAGTTAAACATTCCCTTTTCACCCACTTGTTGTAAAAGACACAAAGTATTTTTAAGAACTTGGATTTGCCCTCAAATAAACCTTCCAGAACCTCCTGCTGAGTCATTTTAGGCTTTAAGTACTGAAGGTGAGCTATTCGGTCCAAAGGGTTTCCAAGGTATATTTTTCAATGGGTAGAATAATACTTGTTCTATTCTAGGTAACTTGAAAAGGAATTTGGTACTCCAACTCCAACTTAATGTGCTGAACTGCTAAGATGATTCTAAGTTACTCTCAGCGTACAAGAGGTGTTATCTTCGACTTTGAGATTTCAATGCTTAAAAACAATAACCAATACTAAACTCTGCTAAACACTGAGAACCTTCGCCCCAGCCATTTGAATATCCAGATAAGGGAAAAAGATAATACCTAGTTACTAGTTACCTGGTCACTATTTCCCATGTACTTTCCAAACAAATAAAAATAACCTTTTTATTACTCTACTACTGTAAATAGTTACTAAAAATAAAATCTGAATATTGATATATTTAGGTAAATTTTAAATAATTTCTGTATAGAAATGCAGTCCTCTTTTCCCTCCTTACAGAACTCAAAGACAATGTCGGAAGATGGAATAGATGCAGAATTGATTGACGGATGTGAGAAAAATGTAAATGTTGTAGGTAAAATATTCAGAGTAGAGGTGACAGAGCTAGACTATCTAAAACACCCGTCATAAGATCCACACTTAGTTTCTAAGATAATATGCTCATCTTTAGATTCATATTCGTATATTGTGGTATTTTGCCTAAATATTTTATAGCCAAGATGCAGAAATACTGATACATATAAAACATCCCATCTTTATGAAAACAATTATTTCATGAAAAGCCTGCTAATGGAAGTGATACTTTTTTTCCTCACAGCGGCAACTCCGTTTTATTTTGAAATAATTTCTGAAAGAAGAAAATCTGCAAATATTCCCTTCCTTCCTTTCACTTTGAAAATCTTGCTCCATTTTTCTAAATTAAACCAAAGACTATACAATGATCATATGTTTCAAAAACAACTTTTTAGTATCCAGGGAGTTATTTACCTATTTCTGTCACCTGAGTGTACTATTCAAAAGAATTTCAGCAAAGCTTTAGTAGGATCCAGAAACACATTAATAGCTAACAGTAAAGTATAATCTTTAATTCTGGGGAGAAAGAAGTTTTTAGATGCTGCAAATAACTTCTTTTCAAAATTATCTATGCTATATTGAAATATTTATTTGTGTTACGCTCTACAGGGATTTCAGCACTCTCGCGTTACTCTTGAGGAACATTTGTTCGCATTTATTCATACTGCACTGTCACGGGGCAATTCTGTAATTTAAGAAGACACTAAAGTTCAAATGTTGGGATAAATACAAAAACGCATTTTGAGCTTTGCTGGTTTAATCACTTGCTATCTTAGGTGTGTACTTTTCTTTACGATAACAGATACCAAGCCATGGACTCATTTAACTTCAGTTATGTAATACTTGTAACACACAAATGGGTTTGCAAATATAAACATCTCTGCTTGAGCAGATTTTGAGGGGAGGATTCTCCTTCGATATATAACAGATGCAAGTATGTGCAACTGGGTGGTAGGAGGGAACTGTTTTTATTATGGAAAGATGGAGAAAAGGATGGATCCTTTGAAAAAAGGAATGGATCACATTTATTAAATATTTCCCCTACAAACTTTAGATCTTAGGCCCAGTTTCACAGAAATTTTGGAATGATATTAAACAGTCTTACTTTCTCTTCTCTTTATTTAACAGCTAGTTACTAGGAGTCACTCAATTTAATAATCTTTAAGGCAACAAGAAGAAATCAAATCTCAAATCAGATGCAGTATTCTGATGCTGACTCCCTGCTGTCTAATGCTACCATTTTTCACTGGTCAGTCAGTCCACAAAAGAGAATTTAAGCTAACTCAAATATTCAGGGGGAAAAAAAGAGGGATTAAAACATCAGATATGCTTCCTAAGAAATTATGCCTCATTGCATAAGTTAAACATGAGAATTTCCACCTCAGTAAATCTCTTATTACAAAAATAACCTAACACTTAAAATAAATCTAAGTCATTATTTATATTACTTAGCATATAAAAGTAAAGATTTGGTGTGTGTCTTAAATCATATTTGCCAGAATGTCTAAAAATAAAATCACCCCAAATCAGAAATACTATAATTTTAAATTTTACTACATAGGTTTGCTCAGTAGCTCACCCAAACAAACACCAACCCCTGCCCCCCAAAAATATACATACATCGGTCTATAAGTTGGAAGGCTGAAAAATATTAACTTCAAGGAGTTCATTTTAATTATGAATTGGAATTGCATTCCTAGAAACAATGGTGATACTGAAACAAAATGCCACTATCCATGACCAATATGTAAACCTATAATGAACCTGGCAAAATGCATATATTGATGGTCAAGTCGAAATATTTCTTTTTCACAAATGTTCTGAGGAACAATGCTTAAAATTATACAAGGTTTGAAATATAATTTTAACAAAGTTTATGTGAAAAAGGGAAACACCACAGTTGGTAATAGTAAGTCTTTTGGTTTTCTTACAAATGGTACCCTTATAATTCCCCAACTTCCAGAGCACGATGTATTTTTCCAGGAAAAATGAAATGATTGTAACTTGTGCTTCCCATAGCTTTATACGGCAGAGCCCCTTCCAGATCCCGGTCTGCTGTCATCTGGTCCATCACCTTCTTTGTCCCAGTCTTTCATGGATGCTCCCATCATGAAATCATCACGCAGGATCGTCCATCCTGGGCCCTCTTCTGCTTTTTCAGTCTGAGGAAAAATTACAGACCCAAATTAATCATAAGGAAATGAAAAAGCCCAAGCTACAAAACAAACTTGTCAACACTCAGTTTTTTCATAGCAGTGAAACCAAGACAAATTAAAGATTGACTTTATTTATACGTTATGATTATATATGCACAAATACATAATAGTACATTAATAAAATATTTTAACCCCATAAAAAAACCATGCAAGCAAAATAACATTATTATTTTTTTTTGCAGTCAGGGGAAATAGAGTAAAATCTCGTCTCGGTATCAATTTTAAAATTCTTCAGACAATCAAAACAGACAGAATATTATTTAATATTCAGTGATAATTTATTAGAAAATTCTTGGCAAACTACTTTAACACAGAAATTTAACAAAGGCTTTTAACTCAAAATAAATTAAAGAAGAGAAAAGGAAACTAATCTGGTACTGTGTGAGGTTTTTATAGATGCTATCTCATTTAACATTTGACAAAAATTTGCACCAACTGTTCTTTATTTAGGTTATGATCTCACTGCCTGACCAAATCATGTAATTAAAAGACTAATCACATGCTAAAACTATACATAACTGAAACAGGCAATACACACACTAGGTAGCCAACTCATTTTGTTTATTCATAGGATTCATGTAAAACTACACGAGAGCCTCAGAGTTGCTGCCTCTTATTTTATGGTGCAATAGTGCCACCTGGTGGTATCAATTAAGTAATGCAATACGTGCTCAACAACTCTATCCTCTGAGATTTCTCCCCTTCATTCCACAAATATTTACTGAGAACAAAACTAAGTACTGTTCTCAGTTTTGGAAATATAGTGATGAACAAAACAAAGTCCCTGTTGTTGTGGACCTAACAGTCTACGCTTTTCTATTTATTCCTTTCACAGAAATACACAATGTTGGAAAAATCTCTATCAGTATGCAAGAACCCATGACACTTGGTTAGAAATTAGTGTTATCTTTATGGGGGGCTATTAAACATATAAAAAGCAATTTTTAAGAGAAAAGATATTAAAAACATTTGCTGGGTTACAAGAGATTACTTATCTAATTCTGCCGAAGCTTTTTCCTTTTTTTAAGACTTTATTTTTCCTTTCTCTTCCCAAAGTCCCCAGGTACATAGTTGTGTATTTTTAGTTGCAGGTCCTTCAACTTAGTTGTGGCACGTGGGACACACCGCCTCAGCACGGCTTGATGAGTGGCGCAACATCCGCGCCCAGGATTCAAACCAGCGAAACCCTGGGCCGCAGAAGTGGAGCATGAGAACTTAACTACTTGGCCACGGGACCGGCCCTGAAGCTTTTATTTAAAAGAATATAGCCCTGAAGTAGTCATTCCATTAAAAAAAACAGGCTGCTATTAGAAACAGGGAAAATGTCCTATAACGGCTTACTCCTGTCTTCCTGGGAGCAAAGAATCAAGCAGGGCTTGTGCCTAGATATAAGCCAAAGACAGGACAGCATATAAATGTGAGCAAAGATTTCAGAATTGACTTAGTAAGTCAAATAACACACTTTGTACTATAATTTAACCAATATAAAGAAACAAATAAAAAACACCTGTGCTAGTTAAAAACCAACAGTAAAACAGTTCCAATGCTTCTCATGCCACACAGATAGGAGAGCAAGTAGGAAGGCAATTTGTAACTCAGGGAATATGCCATCATGTCTCCATCCCTCATTTCTACAATATCAAACCTACATTCCTAAAACTATTTCTGCTTCTACAGATTAAATTATCTAAAAGTTACCTGGATAAGAGGCCATCTTCCCTGATTCAACCCAAGTTTTCTTTGCCAAGCTCCTGCCCTTAAATAAGAGAAACAGCTGTCCCCAGTGAACAGAGACCCACTTAGAACCAACAATTATAACACCTCTCCTGCCAAATTAATCATTCAAAGCTTCCAATTAAATTCTAAATATGCTTCCTGGTATAGCCACATGCAAATTACTGACTAGTAAAGAGTTGTTCTGACGTTAGTGTTTGTGCTTACATAAGAATATGCACAATCTCAACGGTAAGCCTCCATGTTTAGATAACTACACTCAACATGCTATCAATATGTTGCCAACCCAGAGCAGGCAGATCCCACATGACTGACCTCAAAGAGAGGGTTTCTACATGAGCGCTCACCCTGACAGCCAACTTCTGCTGGACTCTGAGTTACTCCTCTACTAGTTAGTACCAGGAAATCTGCAGGCAGCAGAAGAAAGGAGGGAGGGAAAAACAGGGACAAAACCTAAACAGGGAGTTCAGAAAGAAAGAAAGGAACAATAGTGGACCAAAGGAAAGGATTCATTAATTAAAATGTTGAAACCAACTGTCTCACATGCTTGTCTTCAAAGTCAATTATGTAAACAGTATTTTAGGTAAAGAGAGCAACAACAGAATAAATTCAAAGCTCCTCTCGATTGTCCAATTTGAAGAATAACAATGAAATAAAGCTTTATTGGGGAATTTTGGTGGTGGGGTTTTTATTTTGTAAGCAATCAATATAGTCTATGTCAATGATTCTCAGTGTGGTCCCCAGCCCAGCAGTATTAGCATCAGCATCACCTGTTAGAAATTCAAAGTCTTGGGCCCCATTCCAGACCTAGTGAACCAGAAACTCTGGGGGTAGAGCCCAGAAATCTGTTTTAATAAGCCATCCAGTGTTTCTGATGCTTGCCAAAGCCTGAGAACCACCAGTCTATAAAAAGGCAAATATTTCTTAGTGACAGTTTTCACTCACTGCTCTAAGACCAAGGACACTCCATGGCTGAGAGTAAGGCACTTAGATTCTAGAAATCCAATGTTAGACACAGACTGGGTGCCTCACAGACTGCCATCATTCAAGCTAACCTTACAGTGGCGTTTTTACACTGTGAAGCAACAATACGAAGAAAAACAGACAACAGAAAATTTAGTACAAACAAGTGTGAGTTAATACATATTAAAAACAAGTATTTTCGATAATATGTCAAGATGGCAGCTCAAGAAAAAACTTTGTTTTAAAGGCAACAGAATGACCCCTTAATTTCTAATGCCTACACCTACACAAGAAATACACAGCAAGAAAAAAGGCAGCAGCCCATGTTAAGGCGGCAGTTTGAACATAAACAACTAGCCTTGCTCAACTGCAAAACTCAACAAAACAAGAGAAAAGTGATTTGTTGTTGTGAAGATATAATCCACAAGGACAAGATCCAAAGAGACAATGGCAACACAATTTTAGAAAGTGGAAGCAGACAGACCAGAGGAAATTGTCATGCAAACCCAAGAGAGCTGAATCCTAAGACTACAATTGTCAAGCTGACAACCAATCCAAATTACACTCCAGAATCTTCAAAGACAAAAGAAAACACACACACACACAAACCAAAAAACCAGGAACTGACAGGACGAGGTACTTCTGGAAGTGAGGGTGGGAATGGAGAGACCAAAATACAGAGAACTGGGTGATGGTTATGTTGAGAAACAATTAGATCTCTAGAGCCCCTCCCCATTCCATGCGACCTTGGCAGAAGGCTGGAGTTTAACCTATGGAGAGGGAATGGACTAGCAGAGATGAAGGCACAGGGATGGTACCAAAAAGAGAGAATTATGGTACTCACACACTCCCTCCCCTCTGATAATGAGTCTTAGACCTTTTCTCACGTTGTGCTCCCAAATGCTGGTAGGCAGACTTTTTTCTTCCAGGTAAGAGATCAGGAATACTCTATAGAAAATCTGACCAGTTGCTAATAAATAACCCACTGAGAGAATGCTAGATGAAGCTCACAAGTCATGTGGATGACATGCACATGCTCAGTTTCCAATTACCTTTTTAGAATTATTTATTCTAATGAGCAGACACCTAAGGATTATCAGAAAGATGACAGAGATAACACGAAAACAAAAATTTAAAAAGCAATTTGTAGGAAAAAGAAACTATTCAAACAGAAGAAAATTTAGGAGAAATACCATTAATATCCTTGAAGAGTTAGGAGATTATATTGCATCCACAAAACAAGAACAGTTGCCATTTAAAAAGAAACATTAAGAGAATAAAAAGGAGCTTGAAATTAAAAACACGATGACAGAAATAAAAAAATCAGTACAAGGGTGAGAAGATAAAGCTGAGGAAATCACCCAGAAAACAGAATAAAAAGAAAAAGGTGATGGAAAACAGAAGACAAAGTAAGATAATTGGAAGACCAGTCCAGGAGGTTCCACAAACAAATAACAGTTCTACAGACAGAGAAGTGCAAAAATGGAGGGGAGGAGAATCAATGAAATACTGCAAGAACATTTCCCAGTAGTGGAGGACACACGTTTCCAGGTTGAAAAGAGCCTCTTGGATGTCTGAAATACAAAAGAAAAACAGAGCCACATCAAGGACATCATGGAAAATTCCAGAATAACAGGTACTAAGAGAATATGCTATAAGCTTCCAGCAAGAAAACAAACACGTCACACACATACAGATGATCAGGAATCAGAATGGATTCAGATTTTCCTACAGCAACCCTGGAAGCAAGAAAGCAACACACAAATGCTTTCAAAATGTTGATGGAAAATAATTTCCAAGCTAAAATTCAATACCCAGACACACTGTTACTCAAGTGTAAGGATTTAGAATAGAGGCACTTTCAGACACATGAGGTGCCCAAAAGTTTTCCTTCCAATTAAGCCTTTTTAAGGAAACTACCAAGAATGTTCTCCACAAAAAAGGTGGAGTAAGGCAAGAAGAGAAAGACACAGGATAGAAAAAATAGGGTATCCAACAGAGGAAAGAGAAGGGCATCTTCAGGGCGAGAGTGAATGGAAACTCCAGAGGGGTAACTACGCATCAGGCATAGGACAACCTGGAGCAGCGCGGCTTCCAGGGAAGGCACACCAAAAGCTATCGTCACCACGCCATCTGCCCCAGAACCATCATTTTAACTTGATAAAACCACCGGAGGATACCAAACACTGGGAGTAAACAAAGAAAGAAGATACAAGAGGTAGGAAATAGGGAATCCAATCCAGGAAAAA